AACTAGACTGAAGAACAAAAGGACAGCAACTTGTCTGCTCTCCTTTCCCCAATTCCCCAATAAAAAATCTTTAACAACAACAAAAAAAAGGTAAAAGTTAAGTGATTATTTGCTAAAAATAAAAGATAATTTTCAATTTAAAAAAAATACTGAATGTACATAAGCTTTTCTTATGCATGCAACATTTGGAAAATGAAGTAGCTTTTGATTTCTTCTAGTCCAAGTAGTTTATTTTTAGACTATATACTCGTGTGTAGATATCTAGGTATCAGATGAAGTTACTTGTATAAAGAGCAAAAGAATGTAGTAGGAATTCCACTTCAACACCGAGCACATGAAATGAGAATAACATCAAATATATAGGAAGTTATTGTTCTGAATTCTACTAGATTCTATTTTGGTTTGTAATTTTTACTTAATTTGATTATTAGCCTAATAATATATCCTTAGGCTTTAAGAGACTGAATCACATGACATTGCAGGCAAGAATTTGAATATATGTATATATGGGCAGTTTTCTAAAAAGAGGTCATTGTCTTCCTCAAAGGAATATTTTGCCCAAAGTAAGAGGTACTAGAATAGACAGAGACCAATATGGTGTCTACATATATTTAAATGCAATTTATATGCTGGTATTTAATGTAATTAATTGTAATGCTTTAAAAAACCTAAAATCTAAACCAAGGTTTATTTTATTCTTATGTGAATGATAAAGGCAGAGCTAAAAGCACCACACAAAAGACTGAATGACATAAATTTTAAAAGATGTTGAATTTTGTTTGTAGCACTTCCATAATTAAAACTTTACAATGATAGATTCAAGAATTGTGACAGGGCAACGGTTTTCCAACCACTGCAATGTCTATGAAAATAAATATTGATATTCAATTGGTGTAACCAAAGCAGTCATTAGTAGCCAGTATGACTTATCTTTCTTTCATTCATCATCCCAACTTCCAGCCAGTCTGCAAAAAAATGATACCACACAACTTTAATCAGTGCTGTCCTAGGTGCTGAAAGTGGTCTATAAATATGAAGCAAAATATTTGTGGGCTTGGGGCTTGTTTTGAAATAAAGATAGGTTAGGAGAAAAAAA